GAATATACCCTTATGTTCCTTAGAATGTACTCTTAAAATATTTGCAATATCGTATTATTATTTGCTTTCGTATGATTTTTTCATTGCTTCATCATTGCGGTTATTATTATTATTTATTAATGGTGTCTTGTGAAATCGTTAATCCTCTCTCTTGTATGATTAATATATTCAGTAATGCTGTCTGCATTCGTTGTCATCTCATGAAATTTTTTAGAATTCAAAAATTATATTTTTGATATTTTTTTGAGACGATGAATTTTGCCATTTTATTTGTTTCTGTCCATATTTTCCTAACTTTATTATATTGATATTATTATCATTTCACTGCCATCTGATTTGATATCGTTTTATACCTCATTGACTTTATATTCGTACTTATGGTAATAGTAACGATCATATCCTATTATTATTAGTTTTTAATATGTGTTATATTTTAGTAATGTTATATTAATATTATAATAATATTAGATCAGATAGTAATGTTTGAATTGATATTAATAGTTAAAAATGGGTTTAGTGTGAACTACATTCGGAGGATTGATTTTGTTAGGTATGTTTGAATTTATGATGTTAGATTATAGTGATGGTTTGATTGGTTGAAATTTTTCGTTATGTAAATAAATGAATGAAATTGAATTCGCGAATAACGCAACAATAAAATTACGATTGTTTCACTGTTGTGTTTGTGCATTCGCAAAGAGTTAAAACATTGAAGGGTTATCCGATATCCTATCTGATTAGTACTTTTTTCAAAGTATTGCTATCATTTGTTGCGGGGCTCTTTGTAATCTCTTCCGATATTTTCGAATTTACATTTTGGAAATTTCAAGCGAAAGCCTTTGATGCTCAGATTTGTTAAAGGATTTTAATGTGTTTACTGGAATGTCACTTGTTTTGGATAATTTTTTTGTATGTGAAAAATTGCGGGGATTTTCCAAGCGATCAGTTGCTTTCGTGGTGGAAATGTGGTTTTTTTGGGTTGTTATTACCCTTTATTAGCCACTGGTTGTTATCCTTTTATTCAAATGGAATGATTTTCATTAGTGACAATTGAGGAACACTTGCTCGATTCAGTTGTTACTATCGTTGTGTTAAACTTTATCTTGCCACTGATAACTTATTAATACAATTGGGTAGCTGATAACAATTGTTATCATCTATTCAATTGCATTGTTATCAGGTACCCTTGGGTAGCTGATAACAATAAAGATAATAATAATAATGTTAATTAGAATAGTCAAAAACAATGTGAGATCAATAAACTCACTGATTTCTCGATTCACTTCAAGTGAGTTGAGAACGATCGCCTCTTAAACAATCGCCTCAGTGTGCAATTGAGCGGATTTGTTTCGCTGTTTGTTCGGTTTTGGTTTCTTTTTGAAGTATTTGAAGTGAAGTGGAATTATTGCGTAATTAGAGGTTGTTATGGCGAAAATGTTTCATTTCATCGTTGAGATGTGATTATTTTATGCAAGTAGTCGCATTTTATGGGTAACACAACCACAATTACAGCGCGATAATGTCTGAGCAAGAGCCTGGTCATGGTGGTGATGTGAATCCACCGAAAAAAGATTGGGTGCATTTTGATGAGCAATCAGAACAAGGCGAGGAAAAGAATGAAGAAAATCGCGAAAGTACCACAAATCAGGTGGATCAAACCACTCCTCCTCCTCAAATAACACCACAGTCGATTGTTATAGGTAAGAAGTATAAGGGTTTTGTGAGATTCTTTTTTGGCTTTTTCTAAAAATTACCTGCGTGTCATCTGATAGTAGTTTCGATGAGAATATTGAATTGAAATAAATATTCTGAATGTTTTTCAGATGCGTCAAAACTTCTTGAAAGTAGTGGGTATGCGATGAGGAGTGGAGCAAAGGCTAATGGAGGCACACCACCAACTGATCCCGAGTCACCGACGGTTACGGTACCCAAAGAAGACGAACCATTCAGTGCGTATCGTATCTTATCGTGTTCAGTTTTGTGTCATTCGTCTCGTCAAAAATTTTTATTTTTTGAGAAAAATCTTTGGCTTTTTTCTTGAAGGAAAGTTCGTTCAGTTGGAAAATGTCACGTATTGGCGAGGAAAAAAGTGATTTTTCTTTTGGAATGTGGGATGTGAGAATAAATTTGGTAGGATTGAATAGTTCATGAAAGAAGACAAATTGGCTCTTTCGATAAATGATTAGTATTTGATGAAGATAGTTATTTTCGGGCAAGTTTTAAAGTCGTTTCATTTAAGGGAATGGTAAAATCATATGTGCAGTCTATCCGGAAAATACGACAATGGCATGGGTGGTACCGGCGAGATATAACCCGTACAGTATGCCGAGATCACTGGCCGACGACAGGCTTAAGGTAAGTTGGGCAGGCGATTTCTATAATCTGACAATGAGTGAATTTTTTTCGAAATAATTTTCAAGATCTGAAGCGAAATTGTTCAGTAGCAAATTGATTTTGTTTTGCATTTGATAGTAGCGCTGATCGATTCCGATGAATTATTTGTTAGTTTTGATCGCAAAAAAGAAATATTTTTCAGTTACCGTCGGAAGATTACGTGACAGCGATGGAAATGATTACAAATGATTATCGATTCAGGTGCGACGATTTTTCATTTGTTTTTTTTTTTCAAATTTTAATATTCATTTTCGATTTGGGAGAATGGGATTTTTGTGCCTCATTTTTGCAATATTCTACCATTTGATTAGCGCGGAATAGAAAGTTTTTTGAATTTCATGAGAAATCGCGAGAAAATATGCAAAATGTACGGAATTATTTGCAGATGTTATTGTATCTTCTACAGTCGATTGATGGCATTTTGGATATCAATTTCTGTGTTGGTGTTGCTTTTGGTGTTGTTGAGTCAACCGAACGGCGGTCTGGGAGTGTTGATTTTCTCGTTTGTTTGGATCATTCTTCTGCTGTTGGGAATATTTTGCGTTCTTATCATCCGAAAACATGTTCGTTCTTTTCTTTTTTTCAAACTTTTTTTGTGATGAATTTTTAAAATGTCAAGAATTTAAAATGTAATGATGAAAACGTGATGTAAATTTTGAGATGTTAATTGGCTTACGTCATTGTGTTCAAGCAGCGAATAAACTGTTGATCAAAAGCGATATGCTGGCTGGAGTGGAGGATCGTGGACTGTTATCATGCCACAAAATTGTGGTGAGCATTTATCTTTGTCAATGATTTTTGATTTTCTGAAATCGTTCTGATTCTGTTTTGAAACGTGATTGTTATTGTTATTATTATTGTTATTATTGCTATCATTAATGTGATCCTAATGATAACTAGAAAGTGTATTGGCAATTCAGGTGATATTTATGTATTTTCGAACGGCGCAATGCAAACAAGACATAGAGCGTTTGATAAGACAAGAGAATCTGATAGCGCAGCCACATCCGATTGAGATGAACGCCCGCGAGGTGAACGATTTTGCAATAAGACTGATCTTGAAGTACAGTCAAAATTTTGTGAAAGAAACCTCAAAGGTACCCTGAATTTTTACAATTTTTCATTCTTCTCTTAGAATTAATCTTCACAATATGTTTCAGAATTTTTTTGAAATATACTGCTGAAAAAGATTTTTTTCGCGACGGATCATTTTTCGTTCTAAATTCTTTTTTTGACATTTTCCTTTTTTGATTTGTTCATTGTTTTGTGTATATTGAAATATTTGATTTCTGATTTTTTTGTTTCCACTACGATAAAATTCGTTGATTTGATTGATATTTGATGCAATATATCCATCAATCTATCTATTCCAGAAGCGTTTGCTATTTCCAACAAGACCAGTTGAGGGAGTCTCTGAATTCACACCGAAGCACTGCACGAATTCGTATTGTATTTGTCAATACGTTGAAAAGGTGCGATTTCATTCAAACAATTTGACTTTTTAAAATCAGTAATTCAGTCATTACTGAAATGATAGCAGTGATTGTGTATTGGTAAGTGATAATAATAGTACTGATCAGATAAGAGTTATAATGGTGGTGATTTGATAATATTTGACAATAAGATGTTCCAGAGACACTTCAAGCGTAGTCCACGTGAATGGTACGAGCGTTTATTCTGGTAGAAGAAAGGTAGGGAGGGTTTGACGGTGAATCGATCGCCTTACATACGAATCATATCACTTATTTTTTGTCCTCGCTGAAATAATTTAACAATTTGCTGATTATATGTTATTATTACAATCTTCTTATACCTACTTGCAACAGAATAATTTTACTCATTTGCGTTTTCAGTTTGTAGTTTCGAAGTTGTATCATCGAGTTGAACGTTTCATTTTGATGATACCATTTTCAAGTTGTGCAAAAATTATTTTTAGTTCTGTCATTTTGTATTTTTTGTGATTTTATTGGATTTATTGTGAGAAATTGTGTGGCGATTATTATTATGTTATTGGTTATTTGGCATAATTTATAGAGCTGGAACTGTGATGTTTTTATCACTTGATAAATTGATATTATTCACTTATCGTTACGTGATTATTATAATATTGTGGTGTTGTGATTTTATTTTCGTGATAATTATTATCATTATTGTTGTCACTTATCAGATTTACCTATTAATTAATTCGCTTGGTTTAGCATTATTACAACAATTATTGCGAGATTATTACTATTGTTATCATTTTCATTGTTATTACTATTGTACTGATGTTGTCATTATTTTTGAAATGGGTGCTTTTTCAAAATTTGATTCACAATGTGCCGTATTGTGTTGAATGTATTTATAAGTGATCAGATTATTTATTTATTCGTTCGTTGACATATTTATTTGTTTTTCATTCACTTCTTGGGGTTGTGAGTAATTCGTTCAATGGTGAATTGAGACGATTTTTGATTTGGCATCATGTGATATTATTATATTATTTTTGTGATTACCATTGCAATATTGTTATTATCATTATTGTTACATTATCTGGATAATATCTGGATTATCTGGATTGTTATTGCTATTGGTATTCTGGATTATTATTGTTATATTACTGTTATTAATATTGCTGTTGGTATTCTGCTGATTAGCATCGATATTGAA